CCCTAATTCCTCCACCGTCAGCCAAACCCTATCCGCCGCAACCACCTTATAGCGTCGCAGTAGTGAAGTCCAAACCCTATCCAACTGTGTCGCCACCACCAACACCGTCAATGCCGCAAAGCTGCAACAAATCGTCAGCCACCACAATACAAGCTTCCACCACCAACATCACCATAGATTAATGCATAAATCAAAGGCATAGAGAACCCAGAATCGCATCCTCACCATGGTCGTTATCTCCTTCATTGACGCATCAACCATGGAACTCGCATCGCACCAAAGCGCCTCTCCCAGTAGGATTGCGAACCCAAGTGCGACCTCACCACCGCCACTGCCTCATGCCATCGCCACTATGAAGCATCACCACCGCTGCCACGGTGCAAAGCTCACTTCAGGCCATCGTCGTCGTAAGAATCGCGCCACTCAACGAGAACCTACAACTACCACATCGTCTTTCACCATGAATGTCGCAACCACCCACACCGTGAAACCCATCCACCACAATAAACCATGTTGCGCCATTACCACCATGTCGAAAATCGCACAACCAAGTTCGAACCTACCCTCCATCATCAATCTCACACAACCCAAATCACCACCAACAACATCATCTTCTTCCTCGTGATTAAGACCCAAAAAAACCCAGAAAATTTCCCAATTTTCGAACTCCAAATTCGTGCAGATCAGACAACCCTCGCATCATCCCAATTCGCACTGCCACCATTGCGAGACCCAGAAGCTTTTCCTAGCGCCACCATGACCTCACAACATGCCTCCATCAACATCGTGAGCTTTGTCCATACTAGTCTGAACCACCATTGCAGTGCGACACAAGTGAACCTTAATCGCGATCTCCATTCAAACCGCCATCCAACACGAGCACGACGCCACCGTAACCGCCTTCGTCGCGCCTTCAACCTGCAAAGGGAAATACAAAGAATGCAAACCCAATTTGCATCACGAAACCATGTTTATCCCCTTCGTATCTAGAAGCTTTCCTCGCGCAGCCATGGCAGTTCTCTTTAACCAACACCATGAATCCTTTATCGCTCCAGATTGCAACCTGTAGAAGAAATCAGAAACCCTAAAGCAGTTCAAGACCCTAATTCCAATCCAGTAGCAACGAGCAACTCGCGCCTCCATACATGGCCAAGAATCGCGAGCAACCTTCCTTCGCGGTGCAAGAGTAAGTAGTTTCCCCTCTCCATCAAAACCCTAATTTTGGGTGGGAGAAGGGGTTGTCATGTGTAGTATCCACCTCAACCTTTAATTGCTTACCATTTCACCACATATAACATTAAAATGACACGTTACCACCATGTACTGCCATATTATCATACTATTAACTTTGTTTGTTTCTTTTTAACGAAAGGGACGATGTTGACATAAAAATTACAAAGTAAGGATTAATTAGACATTTTTTTAAACCAGAGACCTAATTGACACAATGGAGCAAAATTGGAGACAAAATAGGCTATTAAACCTTTTCAAACTAGTGAATGCATAAATTGTAATTTTTTTCATTTTACTAAGGTTAAAAAAAGATAAAATGTGTTTCTATCCATTATTTAGTTGAGAATTAAATTATTTGTTTAAATTTGGATAATTACACTATTTTATAGATGATTATTTAATAATAAATAAAATTTAAATTTATAAATTGTAAATAGTAAAATTATTAGTTATATTCAAGAACCTTTATAATTTATGTAAAATAATAATTAAATTTAATTGTCAAATGAGTACGTTATTAGTTAAATGAGTACATTATTAGTTGTTAAATGAGGGTATTTTGTTTGAATATATATTAAATTACCATTTTCTAACATAACTTACATAATAAAGAAAGACGCTAAGTATCATTAAAACTTAAAATTAAAGTAATTTGATAATAATTCGTATTTTGATATGTTATAAATATTTTAGTTCAGTCTTATCTACTACAATACCATATATTAGTAAGTTAGATAGATTGATTCTTTTAAATATTTTATTATCTCTATCTTGCGCATTATATTAAAAATATATTAACTCAATTTATTTATTTATAAGATAAAGTATTAACTTATTTTACCAATAAGTAATCATAATTAAAAAATTATATCATAAAAATAATAAGACAAAATTAAAATTACTATTAAGAATAGATTTTTTTATGTAACACGATTTACGTCTTATTATTAAAAATCAGATATTAAAAATGTAAGTGGCATTTTTATAAATAAGAGTAATCTTTTTATGTTGATATGATAGCAAAAGTCTCGTTTACGTCTAACCTTACAAAATACAATGTAAATGTTCACATTGAAAGTATACTTATTTTTTTAAAATTCAATAATTTTTTCTTTCTCGCTTATAGATTTTTCGAGGTGAATATAAGTGTTTTGTGGCAGTGATTTTAATTATATTAATGTTTTTGTAAGTCAAATTAGTATGTGTTGCATATCTTAATAGAATGTGTTGTGTATCTTAATAGATTATCATTGCGTTTTTCAAATTTGTCATATATATGATCCTTAAAATAACACGCATAAAAATTATATGTCATGTTAGAGAATATTACCATGTAAAATTGAATAATCAAATAAATTGAAGATTTACATTATTTAAATATTAAAAACATATTTTACTTTTGAAAAAGTTATTAAAAAACCGACCCAAATAATTAATAATGATAAATAAATATAATGAAAAATTGGAAGACAATTCACCTTGAAACTCAAGTATGGGTAAGACACATAGATTAAGTGAAGCAAGTTGAATTTAATGTAGATTTTAAGAAAATTATAATATTTGTAAGTGATCCCCATATATCCACTATATAATTGAGAATGTGTCCTGAATGAGACATGAATGATTTACTGAAACTTGTGTGCTAATGCTGTATTTTGAAACAGAGAGAGAGGCATTGGATGGACCACGAAGGTACGTACCATTAGGTGTTAGGTCAATGGGACCCCCTCCACCACTTGTTAATTTCTTTCCATTCCTTCTATTTCTATATATTTTCAAACTCTTTTTCGTTTCTCATTATATATATTTTTTCAAATATTAAAAACTTTACCGTGAAAATGTTTTTTTTTAAATTTGCAAAAATCTATGAAAAAAAATAATTACAAAAAAATATATCAATATTTTTAATAGAGAAATAATGTGAGAAATAAAAAAATAGTTTACAAGTTAATAAGTTCAACTAAAATTAAATATGAATACAAATTTAAATCAAAAGCACAAACTTTGAGTCTGTGAAGGATCATAAGTCATGAATCTTCTATCAAAATTTGACTAATATCATAATTTGACTAATATCATAAGCTCAACCCAATAAATTTAGTTCAAGAAAGTGTTTTAAAAGAACATATAAATATATAAGTAAATATAATCCTTGGACTAATATACATTGTAATAAGTGATGTGCTTTTTAAATTAATATTTTATATTGACGGAATAGTGTGTTAGTTTATCATATGATTAATATGAATTCATAATAGTTATAATAATAATTTAATTGTGTTAGATAAAGCTATATTAGTTAGTAGAAGTCAATCGTTAATAAATGGAAATTCATTTTGTAATGTTTCCTATAGAATATTTGAAAGAACAATAGGGACAAGAAAGACTGATGAGAAAGGAGATAGCAAATATTGGATATTTAGTTTGGCTAAGAGAAGAAAGGAAAATATGGTCTCCTTAAGAATAAAAAAATAATATTTTAATATTATGTTATTAATAAAAACAAAAGGTTAAAACGTAAAGAAAATAACTAGGCCAATATGTATTAAGTTTAACTAATATCTTTTCCAAATCCCATATACTCTTAACTTTGTATTATAAAAGAAGTAAATGGATCTTACCAAATTTCATCTGAGAAATTATAGATAATTACATAGTATGAATGGAACGTGGGATTAAATTAAATAATTTAGTGCACTAAAAAAATCAACATTTGAATTTACTGCATCAAGATCCACAATGAGTGGTGCATATTCATGCTTATCATTACCTGATTATTATGCTATTTCCTGTCACCGTTACTGATTTAAAAAAAAAAAAAAAACCTGATAGTAAAGAAATCTACTTTTTGAACTTTCTTCTTAAAGCACTGTAAAAGACACTCCCTTTCTGCTGGTCTATGAAAAGAAAAAGCGTAGATTAAGAAATAATTGATCCTTAAATAGAGTTTAATTAATTTTAGGGTAAGAATGTAACATAAATTGGCACCAAAAGCTCAAATTAGGTTTATTTTGTTAAGAAAAAAAGAGTAACACACTCATGAAATTTTTTAGCGAGTTTCCATTCTAAGAGAAGACATTGTATGTGAAATTGAATTAAAGACGAAGAAGAAGATATTGAAAGTTGAAGATTCTGAGTACAACACAACAACAATGGTAACATCGGGAAAACCATAACTAGAGCAACACATCGCGTTCTGTTTCGCTATTCAACTCTAATACGACAAAACATTTTCACAAATGATTAAAATGTAGTTTAATTAAATTCTCTCTTACATATATATTATTGTCAACCATTAGAAATTCTGAAAAATAAAAAATAATATATTATTATTTTTCCTTGTTTGTGTTAATTTTTGTTTCACGTTTTCTTCAAACGAGCATAGCAATAGCAATAAAGTGGTTGGTGTCCAGCGAAGTGGGACAGAGAGAACCCCACGTGTCGAAGGGTAAAAGTGGTGCCCCACCTGTCGACTAAGCAGAGTGCGACACGTAGCCTTCTGAACTTTCTCGCAACAGAGGGACCACTTTGAAAAGGCCGGCTCGAGAACGGTGCGTAAACGGTCCCGTAGGGTCCACCCATTACCCTCACAATCCTACCTTTTGGGTCCTACCTCTACCCTCACATGACCACCCATTAGGTGGACCCATCCCCCTTACCAACAAACAAATCAAAATTTTCACGTAATTCTCTCTATTTCTTTTAAGAAATATTCATTATCTCTTTCTAAAATACGAATGTAAAATTTTGCAGTAAAATTACAGAAATTAAAATGTAAAATTTATTCTAATTATTATTGTTATTAACATTATTTTGGAAAATACGAAAAAATTGAGTACTAGTAGTTCTGAACTTGTGGTACTAGTTTTGCATTACCCCACTGGGTCCCCCACCATACCCTCCACTTTTGGTGGTGTCCCACATCAATGCACGTGGTCCCACCATTTTTAATCCTCGCATCACGTGTGCACGTGCTCTTCCTCTTGCTCCCAACGACGTCGTCGGGCGGAAACCAGATTCAACGCCCTTCACCTTCTCCTTCTCCTTCTCTTTCTCGTCCTCGTTCTCCTCTCAATGCTTGGAAGACGCGCGCGACATGAACTGCAACTCTTGTTTGTCGTAAATCTCCAACGAAAAATCTCTCAGCATGTGTGTTGTGGTGGTGGTGGTGGGAGCCATGACGGTGGCTCTCGCCGGGGACTTCGACGACGGCGCAGTGGAGGAAGGGTTAGCGTTTGCAGAAGAGGATGTGGAGGTTGGTTGGAGTTGAACGGGGGTGACCATGGAGGAGACAAACGCGGAGATTGGTCGTGCTATGGTGAAAAACTGCGGATGGTGCTGAAACGACGCGGCTTGGGGGACGACGAAGAACGCGCCTGCAGTCGGAACGACAGCGTTTGAAGGCACGGCCCACACGGGGACCACGCCCTGCGGCAGCGGAATCGCGGTGTGCTGCGGAATTGGGGTCGTCGTTGAGGCGGTCGTCGTGATCGTCCTTGAGCTTTGCTTGTTCGAGCTCGCGAGGCCGGCGGGGACTGAAACGGCACCGTCGTTTACGTCCACGTAGGCGCTGTTTACAGGTCGCTTGCGCTTCTTCCTCTCCGGTGGGTCTCCGAGTTCCGGGTCGGAGGGAGAGGTGGTCGGAATCTTGAGCGTGCCGTTGACAGACATGGCGATGGCGGGGACGGTGCCGGTGCCGGTGGCGGCTATGATAGCGGGCTCGGCGTGTTCGAGGAGCCAACGGATGGTTTCACCGTCTGATTTGTGACCTAGCTCTCGGGTGAGCTGGAAGATCCGCGCCGCACACGTGGCGGGCATTCGGATCCTCCTGCCTCGCCCCTCGACTTTGGTGTGACGGTCTTTAGTGGAGGCCCGTTTCTGAGGTTGGGCCTGGGCTTGGGCCAGGGCCTTGGACACAGACATGGACATCCCTGACGGCACGTGCACAGCCACCGGCATCACACGTATCGCGGAACCCTCCTCCGTCTCGGGCTCCAGTTTCGGCCCCTTAGGTTCTCCCAACCTTAGATCAACGTCTCCAGAAGAATCACCAGCCATGTCTGAAGAATAAGAAGAACGTACGTAACAGAAAAAACAAGTGTTTAAGGATGTAAGAATGAGGGTAGAAGGTGGTGTTTGAGTTGCGTTAGAATGAGAGTGGTAGTGAGAATAAAAGTATATATAGTGAAGGTACGTGAAAGAAGGAGTTGAGAAAGGAGAATGAGAAGGTGGATGTGTTGTGTGGGGGCCCTGGGCCCTGGTTGTGTTTACCGTGGATGAGTTTGTAGATGGAAATAAATGAACGGTGATGGTTGATGAATGCGTGGAGAGTAAAACTATTGCACGTGATGGGTCCCATGGTGGGCATTGGGGTAGGGGAGTTTTGGTCAATTGATTCACTTATTTGGCAACTGCAAAAAACGTTAAAAGATGGAGGCCATGGAAAAGGAGAAAAAGAAAGAAAGGCAAAAGAAATTTGGAATGGAAGAATGGAAGTGAACTTGATAAGATTCTGGCATCATGAATCCATGATGCCCTCAACCATTTGAGGATAAGGTAAATCATTCTTTATTTTTTGGCTAAAATGTTTTACTTATTATCTTCATGACTTCATATTTTTATGCTGTGAGGGAAAGGGAGTTAAAATGGTAAAGTTGGATGAGAGAAAAATGATCCCAGGCAAGTTGGAATTGTTTAGAATAAAGAATATTTGCATGCAAAGATGGTTTTGTTTGTAGGAGGGTCACTCACAATACCATTTTAAAAATGAGTTGGAATAAGACACCTTACACGTACCCAACATCTTAAAAGAAGGCACCTTGCCCATACCCACTAGTTTAAAGGCGTCAATGCATTAATTAATCATGCATTTCATGGCCAACACACTAAACATTACATGAACATCAAAATTGTCTATCAAAATACAAAAGGACGGGGAAAAACGATGTTACCTTTGGCCTAGGGTGGATATGGCTGCCCTTTTCCACTCACAAAGTTTGTGTTAAACAATTATATTCACCCAAAGAAAATTAATAATAATAATAATAATAATAATAAAATAATAATAATAATAAAAGACAGCGTGCAATGACGAAGACTTGAAATGGAAAGTCAATAGCATGAAGCGTGTGCTTCGTGCATGTTTGTTTTGAAAACCAGTAGAAGAGGATAGAAACACACAAACATACATCATAGGACGTGTGAAATAGTGAATGGTTCAGGGTGTGTGTGGGTCTATCACCCAATGTTTCAAGGACTTTTTTTTTTTTTTTAATGTTTTATGTTTTTACTCCAAATACTTTTACAATTATTTAACTTTGGAGGACAATATAAACAGTCATCTACTAATAAATTACAACACTATTATTTAATTATATATTTTGGTATAAAAACCCATGAGCGTAATGCTACTCATATTTGGAAAAGTAAAATAATAAAATCCATTGTATTTAATGATAGTTATTGGATGAAATAAATTGATAAGGACTACTCACTCACTTACGAATCAATGAACATGCCACCATATTATGAGGAAAAGCCACACGAATTCTAACTCTCTTGTTCATTTATAGAAATACCATCTTCAATGATTTAAATATGTAATTTTTTTTTAGTTTCACAACTCCTAAAATAATCAAAGGATTGATAAGTATACAATGATCCTAAGTTCATAATATTTTTTGTTTTAAGTCTAAATATGATAACTAAATATGTATTTGAATTTTTTTTATATTTTTGTAGTTAAGTGTTGTTGGATGTAGTTAAATTCTTACTCTGAAAAGTGTGGTTGTACTTGGAATTAATGGTCAAAGGTTAAGAGTGTTTTTTTTATGTGTTATACAAATTTTTACATAGTGTTATTCTTTTATTATCTTTAGACAACTATCGTTATTTTTTTTATTACTTAGAGTTTTCACGTTATATTGTTTGTGTATCCTTGTATTTATTTATTTATCTATTAGTAGGATGATTCTCAAAGTAAAGACGATATGATTTTTTCCAACAAGTGGTTTCAAAACTTATGGTTCGGTAGGATTTTGCTTAGTATGTTCTATGATTGCAGCTTAGTTTGATATTTCCACTACAAAAATATTAGATTTTACCACGAGTTTTTATTTATATTACCGACGGTTTTAACCCTAGTAAACACCTTTCCCGCGATTTGAAAAACCGTTGCGAAAACCACCGTCGAGAAATATTTTCGGTAGTTTTGTGTATAACCGACGTTACTTGTAGAGGTTTTATAAAAACCGCCACTACTTACAGGGTTCCTAAAACTACGGTCATTTGTAGGGGTTTCATGAAAAATCGTCGGTATTTACTGGAGTTGTGAAAAACTGCGGGTATTTGTGAGAGTTGCATGAAACCGCCGGTAGGTTATGGATTTACGTAGTTGGGGTTTTCAAAACTGCCGGTAATGCAAATAATTTAATGTTTTTATAATTCAAATGATTTGATTAAAAATAAAAATATTTAATAATAAATCAAAATAATCTAAATGTTTAATAATAAACTAATTAAGGCATCTTGACAGTTGCATTAAAGAAAGTGGATTTAGATACACAATCTATTCTTAAGGTTGATGCATAGTTATAAAATATTAACATAATTAAATGAATACACTAATAATTAAAAAAATCAACTAGTATTTGAAAATTCTAGTTTAATTAATAATGTACAAATATTCTTAAGTGTATATTCTTCTTGTTCATCACAACTCTTGCCATCAGATATGTTGTTTCCTTAAGTGTCTTCAAAGATTCCCTTAGGACTAAAGAAGGGTTTGAGCCCAACAAGTATAATAACATATAAATATTATCCAAAGAACACAAACCAAGTATAATTGAAAACTCCTCTATGCACCATACTTCCTAGATCTTACAATAATATTCCTAATGTAAATAACTTATCCATTATCTTCTCTTTTAGCAGTCTAAAAAGGTTTCATCTTTTACAATATGTGTACTAAAAAAGCTAATACCAACACCTATGATGCTTGCCACAAGAGATGCCATCAAGGATGCAATTAAACCAACAATATACAAAGAAGAGGAAAATGTAGCAAGACCATGATTGTTGTACTTGCAGTAGTTATTTTCATGTGCATACAATTTGTGTTTGTATACTATAGGAAAATACTCTTTAAGGAAGTCATCCATGGATGTAACATCCCCTATTAACCATAAAATATGCATGAGAAAATTTCAAAACTATAAAGGTTCTAAGGTAAAAGAAAATGAGATAGATAGCTAAAAGTAATAAACTACAATATATTATTGACAATATGTATTCTTCTGCATTACCTTAACTTAATTCTCTTATTTATGAGTAATAATTGTCAGTTATTTATGCATTTTAATATTTGTTTTAATGCAATTATGCAGATTAAATAAAAGGGTAAGTTTTTGACCGGGTCTTTAGGAAGAGATAACTAAAATTTAGCTTTTGTAACCTCCCACATTTAGTGGGCAGTTCAGTTGTTTTCTTTTGTGTGCCACGGTGATAATTTCACCTATAAAGATGTATTCTTTTTCAGTTTTTGAATTGACAGAGAAAGTATCACATTCAGAAAACAATTTGTTACTTACTTGTGTTCACAATTTAGTATCAGAGCTCCTTCACAGGGGCCTGAACCAGAAAATTACGTGTGAGAGAAACTGAAACACCTAGAAAGAGAGAGAACACTGAGTTGTGAGTGTTGAAAGAAATTAACTTAGAGATGGCTGAAACAGTGAAGTACGTTCGACCATCTATTCCAAAATTTGATGGTCATTATGAACATTGGGCCAAGTTGATGGAAAATTTCTTACGTTCCAATGAATATTTGGACTTAGTGGAAAAAGGTATTGATGTGGTACCAGACACAGAAGAAGCCTCAGAATATGATCTCAAAAGGATGGAAGTACAGCAACTCAAGGACTTAAAGATCAAAAATTATCTCTATCAAGCAATTGATAGGGAAATTTTGGACACCATCTTAAATGACGAAACATCCAAGGATATATGGGATTCCATGAAGCAAAAATTTCAGGGGTCAACAAGGGTGAAAAGAGCTCAACTACAAGCTCTACGCCAGGATTTTGAGACTTTGCAGATGAAGGAAGGAGAATCAGTAAACTCCTATTTTGCACGCACCTTGAAAATAGCCAAAAGCATGAAGGTAGTTGGAGAAACCATGAAAGAAAACGTGATAACTGCAAAAATCTTGCGATCCATGGCAATCAAATTCAACTACGTGGTATGTTCCATTGAAGATTCCAATAATATGTATATGATGACTATAGATGAATTGCAAAGTAGCTTATTAGTACATGAGCAAAGAATGTATTTGTCAGTTGAAGAGGAACAAGTTATGCAGACTGTGGTTGAAGATAGAAACAGCGGAAGAGGTAGAGGAAGAGGAAGAGGAAGAGGATCCTTTCGAGGTAGAGGAAGGGGCAGGCAAATGTTTAATAAAGCTGATGTAGAATGCTTCAAATGTCACAGATTTGGACACTTTCAGTATGAATGTCCTATGTGGGAAAGGAAAGCTAATTATGCAGAAATGGAAGATAAAGAAAAACAAGAGGATGAGCTCTTATTAATGGCTATTGTTGAGAGCAAAGAAGGAGGGGATGAGTGGTTTCTTGACTCATGTTGCAACAATCACATGAGTGGTAATAAGGAGTGGTTCTCAGAATTGGATGAGAGTTTCCGACATAAGGTAAAATTGGGAATTAACACTCGTATAGCAGTAATGGGGAAAGGAATTGTGCAGTTGATGGTGAAAGGTGTTGTTCATGTTGTTTCTCATGTATACTATGTTCCTAAACTCAAAAATAATTTATTGAGTCTCTGACAGCTGCAAGAAAAGGGTTTGAGCATAAATATTCAAAATAACAAGTGCAGTGTTGTTCATCCAGAGAAGGGGCAAATTATGGAGATTCAATTGAGTGTAAATAGAATGTTTGTTTTGACAGCAAAGGTAGCAACAACATGCTTCCAGGCAAATGTGGAGGATAAGTGTCAACTATGGCATAATAGACTTGGACATTTAAGTTATGATGGCTTAAAATTGCTTCACTAAAAGAAAATGGTGACAGGGCTGTCTTCAATTACCACTCCTTAGAGTCTCTGTACACACTGTCTAGCATGAAAGCAACACCAAAAAGCTATGTCTAAGAAAAGTCAATGGAGAGCTTCTAAGAGACTGCAGCTGATTCATGCAGATTTATGTGGGCCCATTCAACCAACATCAAAGAGTAATAAAAAATATTTTCTAAGTTTTATTGATGATCTATCACGTAAAACTTGGGTATATTTTTTGGGTGAGAAATCTGAAGCTTTTTCTTTCTTTAAAAGCTTTAAGGCAATGGTTGAAAAAGAAATTGGAGA